GACGAAAGTTTTCACCACCACTGTCACCGAAACTTTCCAGACCCTAGTGCACTTTGCACAAGCGATCAATCCCACATGGCTTTCACTCCGGATCAGACCCTGTCAACTATGGTCACTAACCTAACTTACTCTAAGGTTGTCACTATAAAACTTATTGCTGATCAGGAGGCATTTAACGAGATCCCCCATAACTCCTCAGGAATTCTTTAACGTCGCAGTCAGGACGACGTGATCAGCAGAGTCCCCTCAATACTTAGACAGTCGGGTGTGCAGCCCACAACTCGTTCAAGCCTACCATACCACACTGAGCAGCCCACTGGTCTTTACCGATCCTTGGGGGTCTTGTCCCCAGGACGAGTCAGTCGTCAGACATGGCCTTTAGCCCTACTAAGTCCCGTACAGGTTTGATCACCACATCCCTATCGACCACATGCACATAGTCTTATCACCTGGACATAGGTGACTCGATGCAGAAAGAAGAGACATACTGACTCAGCAATTACCAAGGGTAAGTGCACATCCACAGGGCGAGGGGGCAGGCTAAAAGCTTGGCGAGATTATATCAACTCCAACTTGGTCAAAGTATTCGGTCAACGACCTTGGTCAATGCCTCGGTCAACTTGGTTAAACTTTGTTGGTAAACTCTTTGACTCCGGCTATGGCTGCCAACGTTTTTCTCCCATTAAACTCCTTCTCCCTTTCCCTCTCCTATCTTCTTCTTCGCCCACCTTGTCTATGGTTTATTTACCTCCTCCTCTGTCTCTCCCTCCTTTACTATCTCCCTCTCTCTCGTCTTCGTCACTTCCGATCTCTCGTCGGAAGACAGGTCTATTCAAGACGGAACGCGTTCCCGCTGAGGCCGTCTGAAGGTGGGACGATGACGGCCTCCCCGCTCGTAGCGCTGACAGAGACGCCACCAAAGGAGCGGTGCCCCTTCTCTCGTCGTGCCCTCCAAGCACAAACATATTCGACATATTTGGCCAAACTCTTTCCAAGCCAAGGCCCAATCTCATAACTCGGCCTCTAAACGCCTCTAAATTGCTTCTCAAGCTTAAAGCTTATTGCGTGACTCCCTCCTTTTCCCTTTTGGTCTTTCCCTTACCAACTTCCGGCCTACTAAAACTCACCTGGCGCGCAGCCTCTTCCGACTCATGCGTCTTCATCTCTTCTTTTGAGGCCAACCGGTAAGTGCAGGGCATGGTCCGGTTCATGCATCGGAACGCTTCCTATCTCATTCCGCATTCTATGTACGAATGAATAAGGTTCTCTTCGAAATCGAACACCTCGCCTTGGATGTTTGTGTACACTATCTTGTCCTCCTCATCCTTTGCGAGGGTCTGGCAGTATCGGACGTCGTGTCTTCTTTGGACACAGTAGTTACAACTCCGGTCCCTACTATCGTGACTGCAAACACCAGAAGCTTGTCGACCACGCCCCCGGCCTCCTCCCCCTTGCGGTCGGAATGGCCGTGGCTCAGCGTCCTGAGATTGTTTTTGATGCTGACCGATATTTTCACAATCATCATTCTTATTGCTACCCTTATTTTTGGGTTGCTTTCCATTCGTACCTTGCCCTACCCGTGTTTGATTCATGGCCTTTCGTTCGGCCTTCGTCACCTTTCAAGGAGGTTTTTCTTCTCCTTCCTTTTCACTACCTTCTTCGTCGGACCCTTCTATCCTTTCTTTTCCTTTTCTCTTACCGCCTCGTTGCGTTACCGTCAGTACCTTGCCACATAGTTTTCCCTTCCTCATTTCTTTCATCATCATCTGAACATCCATAATTGTCTCGAACATCTCCTTGTACTTATCGTTACTGGACTGTTGTTGTTGTGGTTTGCGAACGTCATAACAGCCCGCGTTGTGGTTTAACTCTAACTGAAATGTTGCTGTTGTGGTTTGCCCAATCCTGACCACGTGGTGGGTTGCTTCGTTTGCGATGTCACTCGCAGACACGATGTCTTCGTCGAGGGGCGGGGGGAGCCTGTCGGGACCTCCGGGAGGGAATCAGGAAAAGATTTCACAAGATGGTCGTCGACGACTTCGAAATCGTGGTCGGACCACACAAGGTCGAAATGGTTCGTGGACTGGTGTTGTGGAGATGCTACCAACCCCGTTAAGCAGCCGTGTGGTCTTGTCATCTTCATCGAAGCCAACAAGTAGCGTAGGGTGCTTGGGGTTGTCTTGTGGTTGTCTTGTGGTGGGAGGACGCGAAAGGGAGTCGGCGACAGTTCTACATGAAAACTATTTACGGTGTGAAGGGATACGTCGTTGCCAATTCCAAGGGGGCGCTGCCTATGTTACCGCGCGTTCATTGAACGCGGGTTTTGCGTTCAAGGTATGAACGCAGTGAACGCGCGTTCACTGAACGCGTGTGAACGCATTTGACGC